CTGGGTGTGGACTTCTTTCAGGTAAGTTCCTTTTAGTCCCTTTTTGCTGAGGGTCGGACAGGTCTGGGCTAAAACGCTGGCACGGCCACCGAAGACCCTGGAAGATTATCCAACCGTCCTCAACGTTGGTTCCCCACCTGTAAAGTGGGGGGATGATGCCACACATTAGAAGTGGGCTGTCCCGGCCTCCTGGCTGCTCCCGGGTAGGATGGCTGCAGGCAACAGGAAGGCCCGGGCCTGGTGGGCGGGGCAGGAAGGACAGGCCCCGCAGGAGCCCGCCTCCCTCAGCAGCACTGACTGAGCACCTCCTGCCTCCTACCTCCCGGGGTCACCCAGGCCCTGCAGACACAGGCCGAGGGCTCCTGTTCTGAGTCAGGAACAGGAGCCCATGGGCAGCACCAGCTGGTGGCGGCTGGGAGGCCATGGAGGAGGGAGCGGGACAGAGAGGGAAGAGCGCGGGCTGGGCTAGCGGGGTCCACCCAGGACAGCTTTGTCTCCCCCCACAGGGACAGCTTGGTTGTCAGAATGGGGGTGGGGGTGGGGAAGCATGGACACTGGCATCCAGAGGGTGGAGGCCGGGGACCGTCCCCGAGCAGAGAAGGCCCAGTGCACTGTGCTGGGGGTGAGGCAGCCCAGCCTGTGAGGGTAGAGCGAAGGGTCAACCTGAGGGACCATAACCAGTTGGATAAACAGAATGTGGGCGTGGGGCTCGCTGGGTTTGTGCTCACTTGGTGTCACCTGGCCTTGGCCTGCTGGCTCCTTCTTTGAGACCCCCGCCCCTCCCCCCTCCCACTCCTGCTCTCAGGGAAGGGCCCCATGTGCCTTGGCTGAGCAAAGGGAAGTGCCTGCCACTCTACCTGGGGAGACTGGAGACTTTCTTATTCACTCCCCAGACACAAACCCAAACAACCAGGAAAACCCAACCTGGAGCGAAGACAACTCAGTACATGGCTGTTAGGAAAATAAAAATGAATGGGAAAACCCCTCTGGGAAATACACCCTTTGAGGGGGGGGCGGGGGGGGGACGTGCATTAAATGGGCTCTTGGCTGGGAACAGGAAGCGAAAGCCTTGGTCCTGCCCTGTGATACTGTGTTCTCTGCACCCAGACAGTATGGCCTCACTCGCCCACCATTGACATGGTGGTGCCCGGGCCCAGGACGAAGAGGTGGGACAAAGCAGAAGCCCAGCCCCAGCCTCATGGAGCTGTTCACCCGTCATTGGACAGGCAGCATCCGGCAGGTAACAGCCTCCAGAAGGAGCCCCGTGCAAAGACGGGGGAGGGCGTCCGGCTGAGGAAGCTGCAGGGCGCTGTTCAGGCTGCAGAGGCCTCGTCTGTCCCAGGACCCGACCTGGAACCTCCTGCCCTCTACCTGGCTAACTGCGACCTTGCTTCTGCCAGCCCACAGGCCTGGAGGCGACTGGCATGCGTCCCGCAGGGCCCTGTCCTCCTGGGTGGCACTGAGCTCAGTCCAGGCAGGTGCCCCTGTGTCACTGGGTGATGCGGTTGCCGGGCTGGAGGGGCAGGAGGCCACAGTGATCTGTTCACTGCTGGGCCCCGGCTTTATGGCAGCGCCCGGTATGCTCAGTGAGTGCATGTGGAAGGAATGGACAAATGAATGAATGAATTGAAAGCAGGAAGGTAAAACCAGAGCTTCTAGAACAAGAGAGCCTGAAGATGACGGTAGGCCCAGGGACGCCTTGGCCTTCACCCACCACCGGGACCCACGTCCTTGCCTCACCGTCACTGCAGAGGCCAAGAGCGGAACTATTTCCTAGAAGGAGGAAGGAAGTTGACGTCATCCTACCACTGGGAAAGAGTCAGGGAACATGCTTTCAGTTGCCATGGCAACTTTAAGTGTCAGACCTTCCTCCATAGCCTGTAGTGTGTGTGTGTGTGTGTGTGTGTGTGTGTGTGTGTGTGTGTGTGTGTGTGTTTGGGGTGGGGAGACACACTTTTGAGTTCAGAAAAATGCTGAGATTAGTCTGTTGGGTCTTGAAGGGTGTCAAGGGTGGGCTTGAACTCGTTTCCCAAAACCCAATGTACCGAGTCGCCGGGGCTTGGTTTGAGGGCAAATGAAGAGCTAACCAGTCGCAATCTCACAAAACTCAACATGCAAGAGCGGCTTGGAACAGAAGTCAGCACTGGCCTGGGCGGCAGCAGTGTGGCAAACAAGGCCGACTGTGGAGACAGGAAGGTGAAACCCTAGCCCCTGACTCAGCCTCTTATCAGCCGTTTGACTTTGGGCAAGTGACTTAGGTCCCCCACATCTGTTCCTACACTTGTAAACTATGGCAGGAATCAGACTCGCTCCCTCCTGGGGAGGGGGCAGGGGACAGCACGCGCAGAGGCCCTTGGGGACTTGGGGAGAGTTTTCTTGAGGGTCTGCAGGGCGGCCAGTGGGCTAGTGAGGGAGGGAGAGCAGTGCGGGATTAGCTGCAGGGGTTGCCAGGAGCGGCACCCCGAAGGGCCATGTGGGCACAGGCATGAAGGGTGTTGGAGGGTCGCAAGGTGTGGCCCTGGGACCAGCATCATGGTCCTCTGGGAACTTGTTATAAATGCAAATTCTCGGGCCCACCCAGACCTGCTGAGAGGAAACTAGCAGAGGGACTTAACCGCCCACTTTTTAGCAAGTCCTCAGGGGCGTCAGTTTCACACACTCAGACTTTGTGAAGGACAGCAGGGCACGGGTAAAGGGTTTTAATCGAGGCAGCCAGGGGGTCAGATCTTCCGGAAGCCCTCTTCGGTCTTGTAGAGCTTTCTAGGTGCGTGTTCCTTTGCTCAGGGAGGGAAGATGGTATGAAGGCAGGATTGCCGGGTAACACATAGGACAGGATGCTCAGTAGAATTAGAATTTCAGAAAAACAACAAATGCTGTTTCAGTCTAAATATGTCCCATACATAGTATGTGTTGTGTTTCATCTGGCAACCCTGCCACAACCTCCGAATTCAGTCCTCTTCTCCCTCCCCTCTCCCCACCCTAGCGCCCGGGGCTGGTTGGGTAATGATTCGTTTCCTGGGAATCTTCTGGAAGTGGGGTGTCCACTTTGAATTGTGCCCATTACTGGGGGCATCTTCACTTCTCAGCTTCTAGGAAGTGACTCATGCTGAACTGATTAGTTTCAGAAAAAATAAAAATGAAAATGACCAATAAAAATGTTGGTGCCTGGGCTGCGCTGGATTGACAGCTTTCTGCTGGGCCGACCCCACCAGCCCTTCTCGCCGGCTGGCACTGTGGGGTGCTGACGCAGCCCTTGCTTACGGAGGCTGGCCTCCTTGCAAACCCATCCCGGCAGTGGGCACGTGCAGTCCGTCACTGTGATCTTTGTTTGCTACCCGTCGGCCAAGCTAGATCTAGCCATTGCTTCACAACAGCAGGGTGTTTACCTGTTGTCCAGGTAAAGGCCGACCTGGGCTCTCGTTCATCCCAGGGCTCACTCTCATCGGCACGATTCCATAAAGGTTTGGTAGAAGGGACGGACACTGAACTTGCCTTCCCCTCTTCCTGGCTGGGGGAGCTTTCGCCAGTTCCTCTGTTCCCCACAGTCTCAGCTTCCTGTTCTGTGAAGTGGGCACAATAAGAAACCTGGCCCCTTTTCCCCAACCTTGCTGTGAGGTCTGCATAAAGGAGTGCCATTGTGTGGGAGGGGCGTGGCGGTGGGGCCCTCCTTCCTTGAGGGCAGGTCACAGCCAAGCACCCAGACCACTGGCTGAAACAATGCAGATCTGAAAACAGGGTTTGGGGACGTGCTGGTAAAACCCAGGAACCCCAAAAGCTGTTCTGGTTTCCACAGCAGGAGGGGGAGGAGGGAAAAGGGAGCAACTTTAGCAAGAAACAGATAAAGTCTGGTTTCCGTGCTTTTGAAGATCTAAGTAGATTCACCTTTTCTTGTAGTTGGCAGTTTGTTTTCATGCACTTTACGTTCAGTATCTCTTAGGGGCTCAGGGTTTTGAACCTGCCGATGTTTCCAAACCCACCTTGTGCTCCACCTTCAGCTGCGAATCCCTTCCCTCTGCGTTGATTTAATGTCACTGCCCCCGCACCTTGCATATGGAATATACATTCTGCTCTTTGAAAGCAAAATGAGCAATATATATATATATATATATATATATATATATATATATACATACACATATATATATATGCCAAGCAACCAGAACGCCGGAACGACCAGTAGTTATGACACACAGTGCGGCCAGCCAACCGACCCGATGAGGGGGGTCCCAATTGCCCCCCCCCCCCAATGAGGGGTGGGGCCGGCTAGCCAACTACCCACAGCCCCACCCCCTGGCCGGCCCCACCCCCGATGAGCCCCCATGGGGTGGGTGGGCCAGACCCCACCTATGCACGAATTTGTGCACCAGGCCTCTAGTCGTTTATAAGAGGAGTAGCCTATGCTGGAAGCCAAAGAGCAATACACGAGAACAGAAATCGCTCGGATTCAGGCCACTCAAAGAGACACTCATTCTTTTAAAATAACATTTTTGTTCCTGATTATTATCTGAAGTTCAAGGTTATTGAAGTGGAACTTTGGAAAATAAAGATATAACAAAGGAAAGAAAATTCCGCTACCCGGGGATAATGCCCATTACTATTTCAGCACAGTTCCTTCCATTCTCTCTCCACATCTGAGATGGAACTATACAAACGCCTCTCATTACTCACAGCTTCGAAGGCAGGTTTTAATCATCTCCTTTCCAACCAGGAGGATTTTCCCATGCCCTTTTGTCCTGGGACACAATCGCTGCTGTGGTTGCACCAGGCCGGTTCCTTCCTGTGGTTTGGCCGTCGTGCCAGCCTCCACATTGTCGAGCACTTAGCTTGCTTGTAGCTTCCCACCCCCACAGACACTCACCGAGTCCCGGCCACTCATCGGCACCCACGTTCCTGACGATAGCCCAGGACAGACTTGTCAGACACCTGAGTCTTCAGAGAATGAGTGCATTTATTTTAAAGTTAAAAGGAATTAAACGTGAATCTTCTAATTCTGTGTGGATGCCTGCAGAGCTAACTGGAGTCCCCGGGGTGGAGGAGAGGAGGGGATAGAGGAGAACAGCGTTGCGAGTCTCTCTGAAATTCGACGGTTAACAGCCCTGTGGGAGTTGTTGGAAGTCACCCTCAGGAAAGAGGAAGGGGATTTGGTTCTACCTGAAACACCTGTGCACAGTTCACGCTTCCAACACAAACATTGGAGCCATGAAACCACAACCCGCCCAGCCGTCGGTGCCTCGCACGGAAACAAGGCAGCGAGCTCGCCAGAGATCCTCCCGGGACCGTGGACTCTGTTCCCAGAAAGATATGCTTGCAAAACGTCGGCCTGGAGCTTCCCGACTGTGTCCGCTGTGCCGGCTCCACGCCCACTGCCTGGAGCCAAGCGCCGGCCCGCCCGCCAGCTGGAATCTGGAGTGGGTTGAGCCGCTGATCTTTATCTCGCAGGAATAATGCCAGGCTCCCTGGGATGAAAGGGAAGCGCGGGGGTGAAACTGCTGACACGGGAGCGTGGCGTGGTCCTGCCCCAGCATGCAGCTCCCGGCCCAGGACCCCCAGCTCAGAGCACCTGGGCCTTTCCGACGATGCCCGACTCCAGACACCGTTCTCATGCCCCGTGCCACCTCCACGCCCACCCCTGAGACACAGCAGCTTAGCACGTGCCCCACACCCCAGGACCCTCCGCCTGCCTCGGGTGGCCTGGCCTCTCCGAGCATTCCTACCCATTTCGGAGGGCCCACGAGAGGACGAAGCGGGTTCGGGCATCCGCAGCACCAACAGGCCTGCCAGGGAGTCATTGTGTGAGTCCCAGGGGGCAGGCTCTGTCCCGTTGGCCGCCACAGCATGCCGGGTGCTGAGAGCAGTGGAAGTGTGCGCTGAATGCGGGCACCCAGCTCACAGCGCCCACAGTCTGAGCACAGGGCCCGGCGCGCCCTGCGCGTTGGCCTCCCGCAGGTCTCCGGGTCCGTTAGAGACCAGAGATGAGCTGCTGTTTGCTGCATGCTCCGAAGAGAGCCCGAATGTCTCCCTTCCCACCCCCTGCAGCAGGCCCTAGTTCCCGAGTCTGAGCACTTCCCCTGGCTCAGCCCTGCAGGGATGGACGCTGGGAGCCTCACTGGCCTCAGTTCTCTAGAGAGCCCCTCTCCTTGCAGGCGACGAGCATACAGGACCGATGGCATGTAGGCAGTGCAGTGGGTCAAGCAGACAGGCATGGGGACGGCCGCATGGCGCTGGGTGAAGGCAGGCATTCACTTACCAGACCTTGTAGTTACGATAAGGAGGACCAAACACAGAGGATTGTGGGTGTATTTAATACTGAGGTATGTTTAACACTTTCCACTCAAACCCTGTCACCTTTTAAAGGAAAACTGTGAACTTACGTCCATAAATGTACCGGGTTTATGTCAGAGTTTATGACTGGCATGACAACGCACGATCCCTGAGCGAGAATTTTGCTGGAGATGTCTTCATATTCTTCATTGTCACCATCTTAAAAAAAAAAAAGACTTTCAATGAGTAAGGAATGAAATCTTAAAAAACCAATTAAAAACCAATATTCAAAACAGGAAGAAAACAACAACAGGTGAGATTACATTTAAAGAATTCCAGGCCTGGCCAGCGCGGCCGGTGGAAGCGCTGCCCAGAGCACGGGAGGCCGAGGGCGTGGTTCCCTGTCAGGGCACAAAACTAGGCTTCGGGCTCAATCCCTGGTTGGGAGGCAACTGATCCGTGATCATCTCTCTCACATCCACCGTTTTCTCTCTCTCCCTCCCCCCCCCTCCCTAAAAAATTCAATAATAACAAAAAAAATAATTCTAAGATGTTTTTAAAGTGACAGCTGTGAAATACGACATTTTCCTAGGTTGGTCTGAAGCAGTTCCCCACGGGACTGACCTTTCCTCTATCTGTTCCAAATGAGATTAAGGTTCTAATTTTCGGAAGGCGCAGTTACCCTGCAGCAGCTCGGACGGGATTCCTGGCCGCCAGAGCTCACAGGCTGCGGCTGCCCCAGCCTCCTGCCCCATGGGAGTTGAGAGGTTGTGCTCTGGGGGCTTTGGAAGTCATTGCGCTGACCTTGGCTGTCACCCTGAGCCAGAAGGAGCCATTCGGGGGTTCCAGCGAGTGACCTGGTCCGATCTAGGTGTCAACAGCGCCCTCTGGTTGCTGTGCTTGGAACAGAAGGCACAGGGGCCAGGGTAGCAGCAGAGAGAACAGGGAGTGTGTGTGTGTGGGGGGGGGGGGGGGGGGGGGGGGCATGCCTAGGTGAGAGGAGGGTGGCCTGGGAGAGGTGACAGGACATCAGAACCGCTCCCTACCTGTGATCTCATCTCACACCTGGGAGCCAGACTAAAGAAATAGCTCCCAAGCCCCACAAAACTCAAACTAGATCTAAAAAGGGTGGGTGAGCTCCAGAAGGGATCAGATGAAAATGCCAGCATTATGACATAAAGAAAACATTGGGGTGCAATATCCACATCCCATAATAGGGGCCTCGCCAGGTAAAGTTGAGGGTGTGGAGCCGGCAAAGGGCAGCCTGTTGGTCGCTGTGTCCCCCATGCCTGGCAGGGGCTCCATCACTGTGTGTCACCTGGCCAATCACAGAGGCAGTGTGCTCCGTGCCAGGGCAGGTGGGTAGAGCATCTGGACAATATGTCCTCACGAAGGAGACACCTGGGAGGCACAGCAGCTTGGGGTCCCCAGCGAGCAGGGCAGCCTCGGGGAGGCAGGGGCTGGCCGAGTCTGCACCCAGTGGGCAGGGGCCTGAGCAGGGGGTCAGCAGTAGGCATCGCCTTTCTACAGGCCTGGCCCCTGGAGTTGCAGGGTCTCTCCCCCCCCAGCCCTCCTCCTGCTCCCCCCCCCCGCTCCCCCCCCCTCCCCCCACACACACACCCTTTCCCAGCCCATCCTGTAAAATTACAGTCAGCAGTTTCATTATGGCTCACACAGAAGAGGTGGGTACAGGGCTCCGGGCTGGCCTACCTCCCAGTGGGCGAGAGGTGTTTCCAATAAATTTCGGCGTTTTTAATGAGTTCTTTACAACTGCTAAATGGTTAAACCCAAGATTGACAAGAGTAACTGGGAGCCCCAAATCTTGGCAGCAAATGAGAGGCGCCTGGCCCCGCCCTGCCATCCCAGTCGGCAAACCATGGCAGCAAAGCACAGGTGAGCGCTGGCGGAGCAGGCGACTGTGCGGTGAATTCATACCCAGTCGGCAGCCCTGGGCTTCGTCGCTTCCTGGGAGACCTCACTTCCTTTTCCTTCGGTTCTGATGCAGATGTGCATGGGGAGCGACCTGCCTAACGTGCAACAGCCGGACACTGGAGACCAGGAGACCCACTGCCCCGGGGGGGGGGGGGGGGCACGCCGGCCTTGCTGGGCCACCAGACAGAGTGGGTCAAGTGCAGGGTGCCCAGGTGCTGTGAGTGTCAGATAAGCAGCAAGTGGTTTAGTATAAGTGTGTCCCAAATATTGCACGGGGAACGGTTACACTCAGGAAAGTGACTCACTGTTTATCGGAAAGTCAAGTTTCGTTGTGCGTCTATATTTCATCTGGAATCCTACTCCCAGGATGAGACCTATGTGAAAATATTTATACCCGGGGAACAAGCCAAGCAATGATCACGTGACCTTCCTCGTCGCGATTCAGGGGTGGGAAGACTTGGAGGGAGCCTGCCCTGTGAGCCTGGGCAGACAGAGGGTCCCCTGGTGGCTGAGTGGGGGTTGTGGAGTCTGGATCCGAGTCCTGCTGCTGTGACTCTCCCGCTGGGTGATCTTGGGGAGTTATCTAACCTCTGTGAGCCTCAGTCTCTCCCCTGTGAAATGGGCACGATGATAGGGCATTTGAAAATGTCATGATATGCTTCATAGGAAGCAGTTAGCAGGCATCAAGCACACGTACCTGAGAATTATTTTGTTAAACTTCATTCCTATGGAATCCATACCAAACCCTTCGATTGTCTTCAGTTTAACGGTCAAGATCCAAGTGCCTGTGTCAGAAAAACCATGGCCACTGGGCAATGGCACAACCCCAAAAGGTTAGGCCTTTGGCTCTCAAAGTCAGGGGATTAACTCGAAAGGCACATGAAAAAGGACAAACCATCTGGTAGAGGCAGCATTCCTGGGCTGAGACTCTGGTGGGAGGTACTCTTGACTGACCCCCAGGACACGTCCCACCAGGACCCGTGGCCGATTCCATTCCACAACTGTCCCTTGATCTCCCCATGGCTCTGAGCCTGGGCCAGGTTCAAGGTAGGATCAGAACTCTGCCCTCCAGGGCTGATCTGTGGGAGGAGAGATAAGCCTGAATTCAAATAACGGAAATCAGGCCAGGGAGGGAGCAACTATTACCTTTTATTCTATTCATTGAGCAACTATTACTTGCCAGACGCTATTTGCATATGGCACGTCCTTTAATACCGCCCTCAGGACAGCTCTGCAGGCTGTGTGTGGAGGGGACTGCAGCTCACAGGAGAAGCAGGCACTTCTAGGGAGCGAGGTGGGACCCCAGATTTGCCCAGGAAACAAGGCCAAATTGAGGTCTAGGAGAATCGGAGGTGTTGGGATTCGCGGCAGGAGGCTCACCCCTCTAAAACCCCAAGGGGCATCCCAACCATCTCCAGGAGAGAAGCCAGAGCCAACCAACCCAATATGGTGGTCACAAGATACACATGGCTGTTTTCATCTAAATGAATTAAAATGAAATATTATTTGAATTTCCATTCCTCAGTCGCACTGGCCACTTTTTCAAGAGCTCAACAACCACGTGTGGCCAGTGCCTGCCTAGTGGACGGAGCGTGCAGGGCAGCTCCGTGCCCCAGACGGTTCCGTGGGATGGTCCTGCTACTCTAGAGACTAAAGAAAATTTTCTTGAATCCAGAGCAAAATTTTCCAAGACCTTCCAGAAAAATATGCCATGGGCCCCAAATGAAAAACTTAACCCTAAGTAAATATTTCGGTTGCTTCAGTCTAAGGACAAAATCCAAGTTCCGGGGTCCTGAGAGGAGGCCAGGGTGCTCAGAGGCTCAGGGTGGGTGGCCTGGATGCTGGTGCAGAGCACGGGCCATAGTACTCTATCCTGAAGGTCCCAGGACTCTAAGGAAGCAATCCAGAGCTCTTGAAATAAAGTACATTTCCATTTCAGCCTTTTTAGAACACCTCTTAGCGACTGTCTGATGAAACGACCGTGTTAAGATGCAGTGGGGACTGTAGGAACCAGGATTCACCAGCTCCTGGGCACAGGCATTGGCTTTGATGCTAGATGCAAACTGCAAGGCGGGGAACCATATAAGCACCTGGAGTGAGCTGCAACATACATCCCTGTGGAAGGGAAATGAAGGCAAGAAGTATGTTGTCAGAATTCCATTTGGTTGCCTATAACAGAGAACTCAAGTAAGTGACTTAACCAAGGTGAGCCCCTTTCCTTCTCATGTGAAAGACACCTGGAGGGGAACGGGCAGACCGGCACTGACGCCCCTTCATTGGGGTCCAGGCGCCTTCTGTTTTTCTGCTTTTCGTTCTTAGCATGAGAATACATGCACTATTAGGCCTCCTCACGGTCCAAGACGGCTGCTGGAGCTCCAGCCGTCATGACTTACTCCGGCAGAAGAAAGGAGCAAGGGTGTTGCCCTGAGAAAAAGGGCCCACTTCTCAGCTGAGTCCACCTGCCTTTAAGGAGCTTACCAAGCAGCCCATGCAATGACTTCCTTCTCCTCACCTCTCAGGGCCACTTCTACCTGCAAGGAATCTATATATATATAACAGCCTAAGAGACTGGGCGACCGGAATGATGGGAATGACCGGTCAACCAGTCGCTATGATGTGCACTGAACACCAGGGGGCGGACATTCAATGTAGGAGCTGTCCCCTGGTGGTCAGTGCACTCTCACAGCCAACCTCCCATGGCCACACAACCTCCCACAGTCCCTCCTCCTCCCATCTAGCAGGTCCCGTCCAGCAGCTGGCAGGCCCCTAGGCCCCAGCCAGCAGCCAGCAGGCCCTGGCTGGCCCGGCCCCAATTGGGACTGGGTGAGATGGCCCCCAATAGGCCCTGATCACTGGCTAGGCCTTGGGACCCCACCCATGCACAAATTTCATGCACTGGGCCTCTAGTCTAGGAATAAAGTCATTTAGCACAGTACCACTCAGAATAAAAGCAGAATTCTCTTAGGAAGGTGGGAAGGAAGAAGGGAGGGAAGGAGGAAGGGAGGGAGGGAGGGAGGGAGGGAGGGAGGGCGGGAGGGAGGGAGAGGTGATATTGGCTAGGCACTTAGCAGTTCCAGTTACACATGGCACAGGTCACACAGCATAGCTGCTTTGCCCCAAGCACAGAGGAGCGTGTCAGGAGATTCAGTCTGCTCACCAACACTGCAGGGCACACAGAGGCCACGTGGAGCAATAGGGAGTGGTGCGGAGTGGGGCGACTGGCGGATCCACATCCCATCTGGGAGGCCCCTGCCCCTCCAACCTGGCGGGTTGCTGGAGCCAGCCCCACTGGTTTCTGTTTTGTTTGTTTGTTTGTTTGTTGGGGTTTTGGTTTGTTTGTTTGTTAGGAGCATCAATAAATCTAGATGGTAGGAGGTGATCTCTTAATTTTTAAGTGCTGGGTCATCGACTATTTTTTAAAATGTGAACAATAAGAATGGCAAATGTTTTGCATGTTTTGATCCAGAGGAGGCTACGAATTTTTATTTCCTGATGATAGACAGGAAAATACAAGACCCTCGCCACATGGCATTCTCTCGTGAAAGTGCATCAGTTGTTAAGGGGAGGGGTAACTAAACATAAGCAGATCCTCCAGCGTGGGCAGATGTCTGCGATTTGGCTGCTTGCCTCGATAGCAGGCGGAGGGCGCAGGGCTGCCCGCAGGACTGGGGCCCAGGCCACACGGGAGTGATCAGGAGCCCTGGGCCTCCGATCAGCCTCCCTGTGTGCTGCAAAGTCTCCCAACCTCCCTGCCGGGCTGGCCGGGCCATGTGCAGGGTGCCGGGTGTCACACCGCCTCATCTCTCGCGTGCCTTGGGGAAAGGCAAAGCCTGGTCGAGTCTGAGCCTGCCGGCAGCCGGGCCTTTGCCCAGGTTCTGGGTGGATTCCGCTGGGATTGAGCCAGATCTCAAAGTCGGGGTCGGAGACCTTAGAGTCCACATGACGCATAGAAGTTGAAGGTTAGAGGGGCCGACCTTGAAGGCAAATTACAGGGAAGGGGGCCCTGAGCCTCAGCCGAAGTGTCAGGCAGGCGCCAGTGCCCCGGCGTGCCCTTTCTTTCGTCTCCTGCCAAGTGCCAGTCACACACACAGCCGTTCTGTCCTGAGCTACCGCGTGTTCCAGCTGCCCCGATGAAGGCAGCTACCAGCCCCCAACAGCGCCACCATCCCCGACGTCTGCCTTCTGGGGAGGGCTCTCCAGCCGTCCACTAACTCCCTAATTTTGGCATTGACCGAGCTCCCAGGAAGGCACTGAGAGGGAGACCGACCGTCCTGGTTCTCCCGGACGAAGGGGGTCCCCGGGATATGGGACTTTCTGCTTTAAACCTGGCTGAGTTGGCCACCCCATCTCCATCACTTCCAGGGACGGCCCCTTGTCCTTTGCCAGGATGCTGCAAGGACACCCTGACCAGTCTGCAAAGGGACATGCAGGCACCTTCCCCGGGAGGCTGGGAACGGTCATGGCAGCTAGGGAGGGGCAGGCGCCTGGCTCCCTTTGGAGAACAGCCGGTAACATCACGGGAGAAACTTGCTTCTGAAGTTTTAAAAAAAGTTATCTCGGTTCAGGACCCAGAGAAGTAAAACCCGGCCCGCACGGGCTGAACATTCCCCTTGTTCGTGGCCCGGGTACAGGTATCGTCTGGAGCGTGTCTGCATCACAACAAAACGAGAGGAGCAGAGAGCAGGCGCCGAGCCCCTGGGGACCCCAGCCCGAGGCCGCCTTCATTCGCCCTGCCCCGAGTTGTTGAGTTTGTGCGCCCATTTCTGAGACCTGACACCTGCAAGGTTTAAAACAGAGCTATACCCTCTTCAAACTGAACACGCTTCATATGGAGTGCCAAGCAGCCGCGGGGAAAGGGTGCTGCCGGCCAGGATGTGTGCTCGGAGGAGAGAGCAAGTCGCAGGCAGAATGTCATAACATCGCAAGAAAAACAGATCTACCTGTTGCAGGTATGTGTCCAAGAAGTTCTGGGACAATTCACACCACGATTTGCATGCCAGTTTATACCTGGGAGAAAGTTAAGGTGGAAGCTTGTATTTTCAAGTCCACTCTTTGCCCTGGCCTAGCTTTTTGCCCCTATAAAGCCCGTGCTTCTTTATTTCTTATAAAAAGCAGAGACGGACTTCCCGACTAACAGACCCGCGTTCACAGGTCTCAGAACATGGGCTCCTTGCTTCCCACAGGCCACCACCTGGTGCAAACAGGACACAGTTTACACACCTTTTTAAGGACAAATCCCTCATGTAATTAATTAAGCCTATAATTATGAGCCAATCTTTAAAAACGTAATCTGTAGCTTGCCTGCAAGCCTCCTGTGAGCCTAGCTTTTGATGTGGGCGGAATTATATTGGAACCAATTTTTACAACTTGGAGACTCAGGGGGAGCCAGGCTTCATCTGTGATTGATTTAAATGCACTGTCGCTTCCATCTTTATTTCTTCACGGCGACGGGTGCTCACGGAGCCGCGTTCCACCCCAGGCCCCGGACACAGGGCTCGGGAGCGGTCATTTTATGGGAAGCCCTGGCCGCCCCCTGCCGTTGGAGCCGGTGCGCTCCAGGCTGGTTTTTCTCTTGTTCACCTTCCTTCTGCACATCAGTAGTTTTAGGAACAGGCTTCCCTCTGCTTGTGCCACTAGAAAAAGGACCTCTGAACTGAGTAGGACCCCCTGTGCTTGAGTGAAAGAAGCGGGGCTTGTAAAAAACTGGGGTTTTGACGTCTCCAGTGACCGCTCCAGTGATGTCCCAGACACTGCAGGTCTAACTCCCGTCTGTCCGGCCGCTTTGCCCTGGCGGAGAGGAGGCCCAGCAGCCTGCACGCCGGTGTGTCTGTGGGTTGGGACTCTCTGGGCTGCAGAGTCCGGAGGTGATGCTGGGAGACAAAAGCTCTCCTGAGGAAGAAGAGAAAGGGAAGTGCTCTCAGGAAAGGGGCAGGCGACGAGGGCGGTGAGCAGGGCTGTGGGACAGCTACCCACTACGCTTGCCTCTGCCACCGGACGGAGGCTGAGCTGTCACTGACTGGGGATCCTACATGGAGCAGAGAGCCGCGTCCACACGCCCAGCTGCGAGGCGGGACCCCACCTGCCAGGGCAAATACCTGTTCCCCGGGCCTGGGGTGCGGGAGTGCTGTTGGCCGGCCCCTGGCACAGCCGCCCCCGCCAGGCTCTGCGGCCCACCTGTCTCCTGCCCCAAGCCAGCCACCCGGAGTCCCTGTCCTCTGGTTCTGGGTAAAGGGCTAGCGGAGGAAGCTTTCTGCACACCTGGGGGAGGAGTCCTACCTGTGAGCCCTCCCCAGACGGGCATCTTAGCCAAGCCTTCCTGTCTAGTTTTTCCTTATTTTGGACCCTCACCCTGGAGACAGATTTCTTGTAGATGGCGTGTAGCTTCTCAGAGGGATTACTCATTCCGACCGGGGGAGGACCCCCCCAATACCTTGTGACTCATTTGGGGTTTCTGTCGCCTTGCATAAACTGCTTTTGTTGAGCAGATTATTATTTGGAAACACCTTTGCAAGCCGTCTGGACGGCCATCACATGCGAGTTTGGAAAAGGCAGCACCTCTAACCGCTCTCGCTGCTTCCTGGCCCGCCGCCTGCCCCCAGGCTCCCAGGTGGGTCTGCCTAAGACAGAGGCGAGTCAGGAAAATGGGGCGCCGTCTGCAGAGGCCCAAGACCGCTGTGCCAGTTCCCGCGCGTCAGGGGGACAGCGCTGCCCCCAGCCCCCTGCCTCCCCCGGAAGGCTCTGCTCCTGCTCGCTCTGCTGAAACCTGTCCGCTAAGAATGGGATGCAGACTCTTGCCCGGGCAGGTAAACAAACCCGAACCCCAAACAAAACACTTTGTAAAAACTATGAACAACCATCTTCCATTGCCAGTTTGCCTGGTAGGCCTTCTCGCCAGTAGAATCAGAACAGGGGAGGCGTGTGGGGAGGAGATGGGGGCTGATGCTGGGCCCCAGCCCTGGCCGGCAGAGTCAGAATTTCTGGACATTTTTATTTTTTGCTTTCGACAGCCTGCGGTGTGAGGTTTTAACATGCAGCTGACGAACCACCAAGTCAAAGCAAGGAGGCTTTCACGCAGGCAGACACTTCAGAGTTCAAAATATCAAAAGGAACCCTCACCAGGTGAGTCTCCCGAATCTCCCGGCTAACTAAGGGCGTCCCCAGGGGCTGAGAGAGGGAAGAGCCAAATTTGTGTGGGGCCCAGCCAAGGGCATTAGGCACGCCTGGGGCCCCCTCTGCTGGCCGAGAAAATCAGCCCATTCTCTTCCCAAAAGAGCCTCTCTATTGGGACAGCTCTTCTCAGACGCTGGGGTCCACACAGCGGGGACATTTCCAAGGCAAACACCAAAAATGTTGGGGGTGGGGTGGGGCCAACCTTTTAGTCAGAAAAGAGGAGGCATTTCTGGGTAAAAATACAAAAGGAAGGCATTTGCAGAGTAGAAATACTTAGGCGTTAGGAATGCAGCCTAAATGTAGCCTTCAGAAAAACCTTGCTCCATGATTTGGCTTCAGGCCGGTGAACTGTCTACTGGGACCTGGCTTGGGGGGCGGGGGGAGGGGGGGGCGGGGCGGGCACTGGCTGGAGTCTCATGTGTCCTGCGGCCTCCATGGGACTGACACGCTCACTTGTGAGCTTACAGGCAGGAGTAAGTGGGGGTGGGGGTGGGGAGGTGGCTGTTATCTCTGGAATAACTAAAATTGTGGAGTTTATGTCTCGACTGACAGAGAGGGCTTGGCACACACGAGGCGCTCCAAAGAGGGCGGCTATTTGCCTGTGGCCTAGTGTACTAGTTGCAAGTCTTTGCGTTAATAACAGAAGCACAACTCATACTGGCTTAAGCAGAAGTCAGATCCGTGGGCTCACCTGGTTGGAAGTCCAGAAGTGGACTTCAGGCACCGCTGAATCCAGGCGTTTGAACAATGCTGTCAGAAACTCATCTCGCTCCATCTCTGCTTTTCTTTCGTCAGCGGAGTTCATCCTCCGGGCCACTTCCCACTGTTCCAGGCTTCCCTCCCTGGGGGGAGGGGCAGAGGGTAGAATCTGCAACAAGAAGGGGTGAGGAAGCTGGGCAGACACCCACCATGCTCACCGTGTCTGCTGAGCGAGAAGAAACCTCAAGGGCTTGCACAGCTGAGGTGGGTGGGTGGGTGTAGCTATGGCAACCATGCCTGGGTGTCTCCTCTAATCAGCTTTGCAGGATTGCTACCATTTCTTCAGCTTGCATGGCCTGGGGCCCCCACACCTGGGACATGGAGGTGCCAGTGGGTGGGAGACACAGTGCGGATGCCCCATGAATTTCCACCTGGGCTGGGGGAGGGGTGGCAGGGTGGCCAAAGAGAATTCTGAAAATGATTTTTTTCACCTGAGCCAACCTCCTTTCCAGCTCTTTTTCTCAGCCCACAGACGGAGGCCTGGTTGCCCTCTGAAAGTCGCCGGTGGGGCCTCGCCTCTCTCCCTGGCTGTGGAATTACAGCATCCAGCAAGGACAGCCCTCAGATGGGGGCCATGGTCCTACACTCCCCCAGGTCCCCACGCCCACCTGGTGCTGCTGGGTCCCCTCAGCCCGCCACCCACAGACCCCTGGGCCCTTTCTCCTGGTCCAAGTTCTGTCTGCACCACACGGGAGGCCAGTAAAGAAACGCCCTCTGCTTGTGCTGCCCGGGAGAAGGGGGGCACACGCCGCCCCAACGTTGGGGGAGGTGCCCCCTTCTCTGGGTGAGGAGGCTCCAGGTCAGGTTGCTCACGGCAAGTGCACTGCCCGACAGCTGCCCGGGCTACAGGCTGGGGCTTCCCCTCTGGAGCGACATCACTGCTGCCACCCCACCCCTCCCCCATCTGGCCCAGGAGGCAGGGATGTCTGTCGGTCAGTCAGGCCTCTCTGTGCCCTGCCCGCTGGGGACGCTTGGCCTCCGTCCACCCCGGGGCTCTGGGGCCTCTCAGTCATCACAGTAGGTGCGGAGCCAGGGAGGGGTGAGGCCCTAGGACTCAGCCTTGGGCCAGACTGAGCCCCCAGGTCTTCATCTCTGTCCTGCAGGTGGGCGCTGGGCCTGGGGACACCTCTGCCTGGTAGTGACCAGAGGTGTTTGGGGACTTTTCCTCTGAATTACTGGCGAGGCCTTGGCCCACGCGGGGACAGAGTTTGTTCCCCATTCAGTGCTCTGTTTGGAAACACTTACTTATATGAAATCTCCACTCGCTTCTCTGACTGTAAAGGTTTCCTTTAAAGACAGGACTGGATGCTGAATGTGTGGAATTCCTTTTGACGGCTGTCAAGGTGATCCCCTGGTTTTCCTCCTTCGCTGCCTCGTAGGAATCGCACCACAGGTTTCTTCCTGCGAAAGAACCACCACGGCTGGGCACTGGCGCTCTGCGCGCTGGAATCCCAAAGCCCTTCTCATTCTCCTCTGACTCATTAATGTTTTCTTGGGTTGTGTTGACAGTGAAAAAATTAATGTGAAAAATCTATCATTGTTCTTTATCTTCTGTTAAATACTTTTAAAATATTTTACACAAAAAAATAGGACTGTGCCGTAACGTCTGTATCGTAATTGTTTTTTCTGATTCAAACGCTACACATTCCGGGTAGAACGCAGCAATCGGCCACCCCGTTCCTCGGTTGTTTTTGGGGGAACCTTCCTTTCTCCTGCGGCTCTCAAGGCAGATGTCCCGGGGTTTTGTCCTGAGACGCCTCTCACTGCCCAGCCCCCCATCAGCCTCACCTCCTCTCTGCGCAGTGGACGGTGGATGCAGCATCCACCCTGTCCTTCCCAGGGACCCCAGACCAGGGTCAAGGGACAGACCCTCTGGGCCAGGCCAGGGGCCCGCGGGCGGGCCCTGGGGAAGTGCACCTGAAGGCGAGTCTCTTGGGGAACAGAGGCAGCCGGCTCACAGAGGAAAACCAGATTTTGTTTAGTCTCTTCCTGGCCCAGAACGCCAGGTACTTAATGCATTAATCAACGCTGGAGCCAGCCCCCGGCCACTGTTTTCACAGGCTCCCGGCACCCCGCCCGCTCCCTCCCCAGGCGGGGACCTGACCTTCCAGCTGCCCGCAGGAGACTGGCGCTTTCTTCCAGCCCCACCCCCATGCCACCGCCTTGCCCTCAGAGGAAGAGAAACTTCTCAACCTGCCTCTGTGGGGCAGCTTCGCAGTTTACAGGACTGAACCTGCTCCAGGGCCCCCACAAAGGAATTTGGGGTGACCTTTGACCTCTGGTTAGTGCATGTCAGCCAAGTCACCCTCGGGTCTTGTTGCCCCAGGGAGGGAGTTACTGCCCGAGAAGCAGCAGGGGAGACAGCAGCATGTAGGGACCGTCCCTAGCGCTTGAGTCACAGCAGTGCCGCCAAGACCTTGGCTCATCCATAGCCAGCACCTCGAGGCCCTAGGGTGCAGAGATGGACCAGAAGCCCTGGGCATCCCCATTGGCTACTGAGCGTCTTTTATCCACGCCCCCCCGCCGCCCCCCAGGGCCCAGTGTTGGAGTGGGGTGGGGTGGGGTGGCCTGGGATGGACGTTGGCAGCACCAGCGGAGGGAGGCCGGTGGTGGGGAGGATGCTTGCTGGGAGCATGTTCTGGGGATGACAGGACAGGAGGTTAAGGGGCCACTGGCGAATCCTTCCCTCTGACACTATTTCTAAATGCACATGGTTTAACGAAAAGCAGGTTTTAAATAAAACATTACACACTTAGAGAATGCTCCCAAAAACACAAAGAAGAAAATGAAAATTATCCGAAGTCCTGTAACGGAGACAGCACCGTCCGGTATGGGGATGGCGGCAGATGCTGACCCCGGACCCGCCCTGCGCGACCCCATGTGGCCTCGCCTGACCTGGCTCATCCCCCAGAGGGCTGCACACGGAGTTCTCCTTATGGTATTGATTTTTTTTAGAGAGAGAGAGAGAGAGACAGACAGAGAGAAACATTGATTTGTTGTTCCACTTATATATGCATTCATTGGTTGATCTTGTATGTGCCCTGACTGGGGATCAAACCCACAACCTTGGTGTATGAGGATGACGCGCTAACCAGCTGAGCCACCCAGCCAGGGCCTCTTCCTCTTCCTCACCTGAACAGTCCATTGTATGGCTCCTGACACCATCCCACATGATGTCTATTGATGTTAAGAATGAATGAATGAATGAATGAATGAACAAATGAGAAAGCAAATGGGTGAATACATGAAGGGAAGGAGGGATAGAGGGAGGGAGGGAGGCAGGAAAGAGGTCCAGTTAGGACATCTAGTGATTTTTTAAAAAGAAATAAAAAATATACTAGTAAGACAACGCTTCCCTGCACTCTACCTGCCCCCGCCCCCCTAGCCCTGACCCCGTGGAACTGAACTTGGGATGCCCATTCTGTGCTTCAGGTCACACGCTAAAAACTAGCCGGGTGGTTCTGTGGCTCTAGTATCCAACCCGTTGGCTTCTCTTAAGTGCACAAGATGGTGGACCTCCTTGGCCCATGAAAGCAATGGTGCCCCGGCGGCTGGCTTCAGGGAGGTGGTCTGCCCTGTGAGATCTCGGAGGTCAGCTAAGCATCGTGCCCATCTGTGCTCACGGCCCTGCCCCAGGGCGTCACTCTCCCACTGCTCCCATGGAGCCTGTGGGAGCTGGGGGAGACGGGACACAAACACACAGGGCAGGTGTACGTTTCACTACGGGCTTGGAAGCCAGCAGGACGAAGGCCTGTGGGGAAGAGTGGCTGTGAGGGGGACGGCGTGGACCAGGTAGTCAGGGAAGGCTTCCTGGAGGCAATCATTTAGACTGTGAGACTTAAACAGCAAGGAGATGGCACGTGGGCATCTGGAAGAAAAGCACTCTAGGCAGAACGGGAGGCACGTGCAAAGGCCCTGTGATGGGAAGGAGCGGGGAGCTGAGGCCTGGGCACGTCTGTGTAGCTGGGATGAGGGTCCCCGGGACCAGGAAGGAAGATGCTGGGCAGAGAAACAATGGCGCAGGGCTTGGAGGCTGGGGAAGGGGTTGCGATTTTGTCCTAGACAATGAGAAGCTACTGGAGGACTTCAAGCAGGAGTGACAGTGGCCACTCTGACCCCCACGTGAAGATGAGAATGGAGAGTCCAGGGAGGCGCCAGCGAGGCAGCCGATGCAGCCATTGAGGGAGAGATGCTGCTTTTACAGCAACTCTCTCCTGTGCAGGAGCTGGTCCAGGCCCAGGCGATGCCTTTTGTGCCCGTGTCTCTGGGGCCTCCTTGAAGCTGATCTTCATCTTTGGTGGCGTGAACTCCTCTGAAGAGGACAGGCTGGGGGTCCGATGGCTGCGTGGCATCTGGCTCGCACGTGTCTCACTCATAACTGCTTGACCGCGCATCCAGTCTGTCCAGGTCGTCCTGCTCTCCTCTGTTTGCAGTAAAGATAATTACAGCTCTTAGGGGGTCGAATGGTGGCCCCCAAAAGGTATGTCCATGCCCTAATCTCTTGAGCCCGCGAATGGGACCTTATTTGGAAAAAGGTCTTTGCAGATGTGATTAAGTTAAGGCTACCGAGATGAGATCGTCCTGGATTATCCAGGTGGGCCCTAAATCCAGGGACAAGTGTCCTTATGAGAGACACACAGGGGAGAGGGAAACAGGAGGAGGAGGAGGCCATGTGACGATGGAGGCCGAGATGGGACTGATGTGGCCACAAGCCAAGGAAAGCCAGGAGCCCCCAGCAGGTGGAAAAGACTCAGAAAGATCCTCCCCTGGGGCCTATAGAGGGAGCATGGCCTGCTGACCCCTTGGTTTTGGACTTGGCCTTGAGGACATGAGAGAACCGGCTTGTAGCTTTAAGCCACTCAGTTTGTGGGAATTGGTTACGGAGGCCCCAGGAAATGAACACAGTCCCCTGTTTTCTGTCACATCAGTCACGCTCCCCACAATGCCTTTCACAGAGTCAATTAAATGCTTGTTGATTGACAGACAACTCCCACAGCCTGAGGACCATCAGATAGGGCCCTTTAAAGGGGGGTGCCTCCTCGGTCCAAGGAGTGATGGAGAGGGGAAGCCTGAGGAGCAGAGCTGGGCTGTGGGTGGGAACCAGCCTGGAGAAACACAGGACACCAAGAGTTTCTGGCATCAGACACGGGGACAAGCGAAGCCACTGGCATCTGGGTGGCCTTGGGTGGGGGGGCAGCTTCCCAACCACTGGGAACATGTGCTGGGTGTGAGCTGGACTCCACAGGCCTCAACATGGGGAGGGCAAAGCCACCCCGAGCAGGCACATCCACCCGCCTGGGAGGCCAAGAGGGGGCACACGGGGGCCCCACCACAGGCTGCTCCACTGGGTGCAGGGAGGCAGGTTGGTGGGGGTGGAGCCTGCAGGCCTTGGGCGGCTGGTGAGGCCTGCAGCGTGTTTCCCAGGGCTCGGAGCCCAGATGGGGGCACTCGGGGACGCAACCTTCAGCGTGCAAAGCCTGGATTCAGTTTGCACCCGCCCTCCCTCCGATCTGGGTGCAGTCCTTGCTGGGGGCCTCAGCTAGTCAGGCAATCGGGCCATCCTGCGGCTTCGGGGAGGGGCTCTTTCTTGTTTTTAGCCTTTCTTTGACGCATTTTGTTTTCAATTTTAATAAAAAGGGGACATAAAACCCTTAATGAACCGTGGGAAGTGGTTCTTTTGTACACGAGGAAGGGCTGGCATGTCCCCGGGGCAGCTGGTGGGAGTCCTGGGTTTATTGTCACATCCATCCCTCAGTGTGCATCCACCAGGGGTCCGCCTGCAGGGGTCCTGCCAGCCCCACCTCACCTCCCGCCAGCCAGCAGAGGCCCACAGGGCCCAGGTCGAGCAACGCGGGTCTGGCTCCGGTGTGAACACAACTCTGTGGCTGTTTTTACTTGTGGGCGCTTACAGAGGTTTTCAGCAACTGTGCTAACAGAATGCACATCTTGGTGTCAGAACATAACTTCCAGGAGAAATCTCGGCTGTCTCATCTGCATACGTGGCCTTTGCACTAGCCACGAAGCCCCTCACCATTGCCTCCTAGAAACACCCCCTCCCCCGGGGCTTGTGGGCTGCCTCCTCCTCCAGGCAGGCATCCCTGACCTCCTAGGGCTGCCTGTCCTTACCGCCTGGTCCCAGTCTGTGGTGGAAGCACCCAGCCGGCGATACTGCACTCCAGCCTCGTTGCCGGCTTCTTCCACAGAACCTGTGCTCACCCTGGTTCCCAGTGAGCTCCCGGCCACCTGCCTGCCGCCCAGGGTTTCGGAGGCAGCTGGCGGGGCCTCCCAGTGATCAGGAACACACCTGCTCTGGGGTTGAGACTTAAATGCCTCAGAGCTGGCTTTGTGAGGCAAACGTTGCCTAAATGAAATCCCACTGGGAAGCCGTCCATGGCCGCACACGTCAGCACCTGTGGTTTGTGCACGCGGGGCCAGCTCACAGCCTGCAGCTCATGTTCCTCGGGCACGAAGCAGATTGGTGTATTTTCTACTCGACACCAT